AACTAGCGATCGCGCGCGAGATAATAAAAAGAAACTCGCGTCACTCGCGCGTGAGCGACTTGGGAGCGAAAGTGATGGGCGGCTGTGGTCTGCTGTTGGAGAAAAATGTATATCGTTACAACACAAATGCGCGACTCGCACGTTTCCTCGCAGGAGAAAGTCCTCCGAGGCGTCGTCGTGCACGGCACGGTGGTGATCGATACCATCGCGCGGCTCTTAAGCGGATCGTGCAGCTCGTATTGACCGACAATTTTCGCGCGGAGGAAGGTCACCAGCTAGCAGACATGTCACAATCATTGCCGTAATCGCGACGCGATCGATTGTGCCAATCGAATTGACGTTAACTGACTTTGTTGTCCTTGTAACGTTACCGTACAGTAATATGTTCCGCGCGTCGTTAATTAAAATTTTCTATGTACAAATAAGTGAAGAAAGCAAAAATATTATTGGGCACAAAGACCTTTAATTAAGAAGCTTTGATCATATTCAATCAAAGCGGGGCTTGATGTCCAATAACACTGCACCCGTTCCAATTTTTAAAATTTCACAAAGGTCACGTGAATTTGTGTCGAGGACAAGGTCCTCTATAATTTCCCCAAGGGATTAGGCGAAGTTAAATCTTGTAAGAATGATGCATTGATTAAAGGTGTGAATTTTGAAAGGTATAAATAGCACAATTTTATAATATTTTTACGCGAGTCTTGTAATTTCCAGTTTAATTAAAAATTTTCAAGGTATCGTTAAGTAGCATTACACGTGGCATTTAGAAAATTTGTATGAATATTAATACATAAAAAGAACGATTTTGTTGATCTAAAAATTTAATTAAATATAAAAGGAAATAATTTGTTGAACTATTAAAATAATTATTCAAGAATATCAAAACTTTTCGCAGCATTGCTTATTATGCTTAAATTTTTTATCTAAGTAATGTGATGGTCAAAACTATTTCCTGATCTATATATCTATAGTTAATTTTTTTAATATTTCAGCAAACCTTCCCGTGCGTCATCGAGAAATTGAAATCTAAGATTATTCTTTTACATTTTTATATTTTTATATTTTCTGACTATTGTTAATTCATACGACTAATTTAGATTATATATAAAAATAGATTTCAATTTTGGTGGCACACAAAAAGAATTTTCTGAACTATATAAAAATTTCGTTAAATACAAATCCGAAAATAATTTTGTTGAATCACCAAAATAACTATGTAGAAAACTTAAGCATGTCGAACAATGCTGCGAAAAGTTTTGAAATTCTATAACAACCAGTTTGAGCGTCTTACATTGTTAAATTCATAATGTCAAATTATATCCGATTTGAATTATTTTTAATTATTTCCATAGATTTTTTTTTTTTACTACTGATCCTACTTAATATATATGTCATCATTTTAACTAAAACAATGAAACAATTTAAGAGAGAAAATATGTTAAATATGACTTAAATTTACATTATTATTTACTAAGAGTATATACGTTAATATAAGTGTCATTTATTTTGAAATTGATCACAGAAATGGATTGATTTACATTCAGATATTAAATACAATATTTCAGCAAAACCATTCTTTCCGTGTATAAACCATACATAAAAAGGTGCATCTATAAATAGAATGGATCATTTGTACTTGTTACTTTTACTGTCCGTAGTATATCCTGGCGTAGGACATAGGCAGGTATTCATAGTCGACTTTTATATTTAAGAATCCTTAATTTTCATCATGAAAAAAAATTATTTTGATGATGAAAATTAAGGTTTTGAAAAGAATTTAAAAAAAATAACTCTCTAAAATCTTTGGAGTGAAATCTAATTCTAAAGTCCTTAAACGGTCAATAATGCTGTCAATATTAACAGTACTGATAATATTACTGATCGTGTATGTGGTTAATATCGATGGATTGACGTAGAATACTGACGGTGATCTGGATTTTGATTCTCAAGCATCAATATCACTTTATTAGGATTCATGTCACGGTATATCGCAGTGTAATAAATGACGTAAAACTAAAATGAAATATATTGTTAATAATACTGATCGTGTAAGATTGTAAAAATATTAATACACACTGTCAGTATTACTTATTCAATATCACTGATTAGTATTATCGATCGTAGGGTCTTTTTAAAGAATAAAATCTTACTCTGAAAAATTGACAATTTAGTCATTTTTTTTCAACACTGGCTCAATTATCACTTTTTGTCACTTTTTAGAATTAAATTCCACTCCAAAGATTTTAAAAATGACATCAGCTGGTGAATACAGATGATTTAGCTGATGCACCAGTGAATTCGCACCAGTGTGATATTTGAGAGTTAAGACATTACTTAAGACAGTCTTGGATTAAAAACGGACTATGTGTGTGTGGGCGGTATTTATAATCTTCTTATTTTAAGACTATTCACTCAAAAAAGTGATCTTGCAGTTATAGCGAAAATTATCCAAGTACGAAAAATAGCTAAAATAGATAAATTTCTAGCAAATATACTGCGATATTGGATATGTATTGCATCTAATCATATAGATGACAGAGCTAGAATTTAAATTTGTGCTATAAATTCTATGCGTATAATACATAATTTTCTATCAGATACAAAAAATAGGTATAATTCTAGCTGGAGCAGCAAAATATTTTTTGCGTGTGGTAAGTAAGTAATGTTTTAAGATACTAATACAACTTTCTGATTGGTTCATAATATCTTAAGACCGTATTTACCATTGTCTAAAATATAAGAGAATCGACTATAAATATACCAGCCTATGAATATTAGGCATAGTCCTCGTGCCGATCACCGTCACCCACGAGCTCGTCGCGCGCGCGGGGCCGATGAGGCCGATCCCTGACCGCGGCAGCGTCGATCGATATATCGGGAATGGCAGGCACGACAGGGCCGCGCGCGTCTCGCGCTAAATGTATGCGCGGCAACATACGCGGGGTCCTGCTTGGCATCCACCTTGGCAATTCGATTGCCAGATCTATCGCCCCTCATAATCGCGAGACCTCGTTACCGATGTAAACGGCGACGTGCACCGCGAGTCGACGCAGCCGACGCAGCCGACGACGCGGCCCGTCGAGCAGCTACACGGAACGTCGCGCGTCGCGAGCGCCGCGTCGCACGCACCAATGGAAGTGGTCGAATCAACGACTGGTCAGACGTAGCGGCTGACACGTTTCACTTCGATCATCGCTGCATCGTGGCGAAACTCTCTTATAGTCAGACCCAGGAAAACTTTTCCCTATAACGCCAATATCTAACATATTTTTACCATCACGTTTAAACAAAGTAAATCTTTAGAATGAAAAAAAATTGCATTGCAAGTGTCACGTCATATTTTTTTTAGAACAATAATACAAATAGTAATATAGGCTCAAAACGAGTGAATCTTATAGAGTTTAAAAGTAAATTGCCATTTTTTTTTTAGAAATAATAATAATAGTAGCTTTATTAAATAGCACTTTCTTTCGCTCAAATGTAAATTTATCATTTTTCAACATTTTCTCAAAGGTTAAAGTACTAAGGCCAAAATGTCACGTTGATATAAGTAATGCTAAGCCAAAAAAAAATCGCTAATCTGGTTATTTAATTCACCGTCAGTGGAGCTCTGATTTAATGTCTGGAAATTCTATTCTTGATCACTTCTGTTCTCCAGTCAGAAACCACCAATAGAGTTTGCTATATTCTTACTGACATCGAATGCCAAACTCGTGGATTTGCACTATTTTAAATGTATCAGTTGTGCTTTTATGGATATATCACTACTCCCACGTTACGTGCCAGCTATTATCTTATTAATATGTATCATTATAATATACGCCCCCGTATGCTTCTACGACTTGCTTACGTGTGTTATATTTACGGTAGCTAAGCCCGTAGTCCTAAAGAATGTCAAACAGTTTATCGTATGCAACATCATATAGCCGACACTATATATTTGATTATCTTAGATTTTGAAGATTATCGGAACTCGTATAAATAACAAGTCATTACTTATGATGTAGAACAAGATAATCACCACAATAATCGAGTACAATGGAAATGTCACATATTAGATTTTTATAAAAATTACAATTTCTTCGCAGAATTCTGAAAATCGTTCGCCGGAAATTTGTCAAAGTTTGTGCGCAACCACGTAATTCAACGTAATTTGATATATACCACAGATTTCTTCACATCATTCATCTCAAGGCGAACAATCGCGCGATGTGACTTTGAATCCCATTAGTTCAAATTTATTATACAACCGTATTGTTTATTCGGGCCAATATGATTAAAAATATTCTAAAAAAATAAGATAATTTTCATAAAAAGGTCTTCCATTAATAGATGAAATTAGAAAATTTTAGAAAAACATTTTAAAATAAAATATTAGTAATAAAAAAAATGAGCTACGTTTTGACCAGCAGGATTAAAAAAAACAGCTAGTCTCCAAATGGCAAAATATTCACGTGAAAAAACAGAATAGGTCAAACTTTCTCACGGTATCTGCAACAAATTTCTTTAATTGTTTAGAGAAATGCAATAGTCTCTCAATTACGCTTAACACTCGAAACTTTGACAAAAGGAATGCGACAAGCCAAGTTTGAACAAGTCACTTTGACGATTCGTGGAACGAATTACGTGGAAGCGAACTGTTTAAACAGTTGTGCATCTTGGAATGAGATGAAAATTACAAAAGTGAATAAATTCTGAACTAGAATATTCATTACTAGAATATCATTGATCAACACCTAGTGAATTTGCTCACTTTATAACTTTCACCTGGTTTCAAGATACACACAATCGACCTCTAGCTCCGAAAGTCGAACGAGAGAGAGAGAGAGAGAGAGAGAGAGAGAGAGAGAGAGAGAGAGAGAGAGAGAGAGAACAGAGAAAGAGATATGTCGGGAAGATGCAGAAAGATATAAGAAAAGAACGAGGTGAGTTTCGGTTGTCACGGTCTTGTTGTTGCCTAGGTGGAGGCACACATGACGTACACTCGAGTTGACACTTACGGTTGAGGAGGTCGAACACTCTCCAGCGTAGATAGTCACCGCTGGGAACGTAAAAGAGAAGCGCAACGTAGCGATATGGAGAGAAGAGAGGCACTGCGACGTCGAGAGCGGAGAGAGAGGGAGGGCGCGGGGGCGGGGGCGGGTTCTGGGATACCTCCGCGGGCCTTGCTCGAGATGTAAGGGTAGCACAACCGAGCACCGTGAGACGACACACTTAAGATATACACTTTCACACCGACGATGCAGAAGAAGAACGACCGACGAGAGACATATGGCGTTAAAATTCCGCCTCGCGCGCGCGATGTCCCTCCACCTGCGTGCATATACGCGTGCCGCCGTGTATACACGCGTGTACGGCCCCTCTCCGTTCCCTTCGGTTACGCCACGAATTCCGTCTTTTTTATTCCTTTTTCTTGCTTCTTTTCCTTCAGCCTTCGAGCGACGATGGCGACCACGCACGACGGCTGGTACGAGGCGCTATCTCTTTAGTTTCGAATGATTAATATCCCTTCTCCGTATCTCTCGCTTCACTTTCGTTTCTATTCTCCCTCACTGATGTGACAGGACCTTTTCCTTCCCCTCGTGTTCTTCTTCTTCTTCTGCTTCTTCCTTCTCCTCCACCTCCTTCTCCTTCTCTATTCTTCACCGCAGCGGCAAGGACCCGCCCCGTGTCGCGCTACACGAACGTGTAGTGGATGAAGAGAGCGTAAAACTTGCTCTGCGACAACATTATCCGGCCGGTTATCGGTACCTCGGTTGCCTCGTCATTTCGTCTCGCGTCCGTTCTACTACGGTCTAAGCCGCCCGCGCGCCGCAACGAAAATTGATCGCGTTGCGCGCGACGGTCCCTTCCTCGGGGGAGACAGGCCCGTCGACGCGTTCGTGTCCGG